AAGGGAACCACCCTACTAAAAATCTTATTTCCCGAGGGGAAAAGCTCTTGGGGAAAAAGCTATATATTATTCCCCTTCGGGTATTTAAACCTATTTCTTTTTATTTATATGTTTTTTATTCAATTTTGGGTCAATTGTGATAGATAAAAAAGCCTAGAAGCTATATAGCGTTTTATTTAAGCAAAATTCCCCCGGGCCCTCCCGAACTGGAATTTTCCATACGTCAGCAAGATGGCCCGGAGGTTTCCCATTGGCTGTAAATCACGTATAATCCCATTCATGTATTAGATGCTAAATCGTCAATTATTTTCTTTTTAAGTAAATAAGTTTATTTCGGGTTTACACATATACAGTTACAGGGAAATTTATCATACATACAGTATAGTGAGAGAACTAGATAACCCAAAAAAGTCAGACGAGTGACATTCCAGGGGGGTCCTTTACCTTATTATTATATATAAAGGTTTATAATATTTTTTTATTTATTTTATAATGAAAAATAACATCTTATATCATCAAAAAAGCTATTACTACACGAGGTCATTAAGATTCTAACAAATACGAGGGTCATTATAGGAAAAAGGGTAAAATTTACACGTATAGTAAGCTAAAAAATAAAAATCATTCCCTCCCTTTCGTAGCTACATTTCATCAGACACATTTTGGACCTTTCTTGAACTGGTTCATCTAGGGACTGGCTTGACATGTGCAGGTAGCTGTTCCTTTCTTTATTGTGTACAATAAAAGGTGTTTGAAGCCTGGCCACTGACTGTGGGTACTACAAAGTTGTGCTCTCTCCCCCTAGTACTATGATTGCTTTGGTTCCCAACCTTGACAAAATTGACAGCAAGATATTCTGGACACTGTTTGTGAGCAATTTTATAAACATGATTTAGCTTCAGTTGTTTTACTCTGTCTTCAACATTCAGCATATCCAACTGCTGTAATTCATCCTGGCCTACATGTTCTCTTGGTTCCAGTCCCAGGATGAATCTTACGATTTTATTCTGGGTGATTTGCACTTTATCTTTCAGTTTTTTTTTTTTTTTTTGTCAAGGCAGAGTACCATGAAGAGCAAGCGTAATCCATATGGCATTGTATAAGGCCTAGACATAGAGTCCTGCGAGCCTCAGTAGGTAGACACTGTGCATGTCTGTACAGGAACTTCAGTCTGGCATTCGCTTTCTTTACTACACTGTTCCCTATCAATTCTCCTGACATGCATGGGTCAAAGGGGATTCCCAGATATTTTACTGATGAAACCAAAGTGATGGGCTCCCCATTACACTGGACATTAAAATTATTTACCCTTCTCAGTTTATGTTTCGTGCCAAAGAGAATGGCTTCAGTTTTCCCGAGGTGTAATGATGTGTGGACCGGTGGCCTGGTGGTTAAAGCTCCCGCTTCACACACGGAGGGTCTGGGTTCGATGTCTGGGTTCGATCCCGGCGGGTGGAAACATTTCGACATGTTTCCTTACACCTGTTGTCCTGTTCACCTAGCAGCAAATATGTACCTGGGTGTTAGTCGACTGGTGTGGGTCGCATCCTGGGGGACAAGATTAAGGCCTTAACCCCAATGGAAATAAGCTAGAGCTAGACAGTCCTCGATGACGCACTGACTTTCTTGGGTTATCCTGGGTGGCTAACCCCCCTGGGTTAAAAATCCGAACGAATCTTATCTGTCTACTAAACCATTTGTGCAGGATTTCCAGTTCCAGTGTTAAAACTTTGCTTATCTGTGGGTCTTACCTGACATAACTGGGCACGTCACTGCATACAGTAAGAGTTTGCACTTGACACTGATAGGCATGTCATTGACATAAGAATAATAAGGGACCCAGAATACTACCTTGGGGAACTCCACATGTTATCGGCAGGGGTTTTCTGATTCCGTTTTATTGATTTTGACAATTTGTCTCCTGTTGCTAAGGTAGGACTTAAACCAGTCTACAGAACCTATACCGATAGCTTGAAGTTTCGTACATAATATATTGGGGTTGACAGTATCGAAGGCCTTTTGAAAGGTCTAAGGTTACCATACATGATGTTCCCCTTTGACATTTCGTTCTCAGGTAATCCATCAGATTAATTAGGGAGGTGTCGGTTGAGTAAGATCTTCTAAAGCCCGATTGATAGCTATGGAGAATGTTGTTGTCATTAAGGTACTTAACTACTTGAGAGTACACCGCCCTCTCTAGAATTTTGGATATTATACTGAGTATACTAACAGGCCTATAATTGCTGACATCAGACCTACTATTTTTCTTGAAGAAGTAACTCTGGCCTCCTTGAACCCCTCCGGTACGGTATTAGTGGTGATTGATAGATTTATTATGTGAGCAATAGGGATTGACAGTTCAGAAGCACCATCTTTTAGGAACTTAGACGGGATGTTTTCAGGGCCTGTGCTTTTTAGCTGGGTTTAACCTACTTAGTTCTTTTTGAATAAAGTCATGAGATACACTTGCTAGTTGACAACTGTTTGGGGTACCCCTTTATTGGTATAGTATGTTTGAAACTTATCAGAGTCTGTGTTAAAGGTATTTGATGCAGCTTGGTAGTTTACTTACTAGGTTGATGCAACAGATGTGTAGTAGGAATTAAAGCAATTTGCCACCTTTGATGTTTCGTGGCATACCTCATTATCGATAGTGAGTGCTATGTTAGAAACCCATCTACTGACTTATGGCTATACCCCAACTGTTTTTAGTTGTTGCCAGAGCTTTCTGGGGTTATGCTTATACTCTTCAATTTTTGAGCAATAGTGCTTTGCCTTTGCTCCTTTTATAAGTCTCTGCACTCTGTTCCTCACCCTTTGGAATTCATTTAGTGCTGCAATATCCCGTCTGTTTGCTTTAAATCTTTTTAGCAGCTGGTCTCTGAATTTCATATTATCTAATATCTCAGTAGTCATCCAGGGTTCAGTTCTTCGTTTAATCCTAACCTCTTTAACTGGTGCAATATTATCAAGGATGGTAGTGAACATTGTTTTGAAATTTTCCCAGACATCGTTTACGTCCGTGCAACTTGTTATCTCTGTCCAGTCACAATTGTGTAGCCTATTTACCAGTGTTTCTTTACTGTAGTTTCTAGTTGACCTCATTTTTATTGTCCTGTGTAGGCCTATCCTATCCCTAGTGATTTTCCTGGTGCAGTAAATGATGAAATGATCACTAAGGCCTGTGGTAATGACGCCTGACTGACTAATGTTCTCAGAGCGGTTACAATGTGGTCAATTAGTGTGGCTGAGAACTGCGTGATCCGGGTTGGTGTATTAATTAGTTGAGTGTAACTATTTAAACCTAGAATTTGCTTATATCTTTTGCATAGCCCGTTATTTTGCTGCTGAAAACAGACATTGAAGTCTCCCAGTATTATTGTCTCGCAATTATTTTCAAGTCCGGACAATACTCTGGAAAAGTCTTCTAAGAACTGGTCCTGGGTAGGAGGGCGGTAACTAGTTCCTACTAAGATGGGTTTGGTCTTGGGAAGCAGCACTTCAAACCATAGAATCTCCAGTTTAATGTTATTTAAATCAGGTCTTGGGTTGTAAGCTAAGTCATTTCTAATGTAGGCACATACTCCACCACCCTTTCTGTTCCTATCTAAGCGTTTTATATTGTAACCTTCTATTTTGACCTCGTCGTCAGTCACCGTATCATCCAACCAGGATTCAGAGATGGTTATAACTGCCGCCCTAATTTTGTTAGCTAGAATCCTAATCTCTGCCAATTTAGGAAGAAGTGATCTTGCGTTGACATGAATAAAGTGAAGGCCTGTTTTCATAAAACAATTATAATCATCAGTATATGGCAATGGGTCATTTGTATTAAAATTAGGTAAATCAATGTCATCATTGTTAAAGGGTAACTGTGCCAATGAGCATTTGTTACACACAAAATGAATTCTGGCACCGTTGCTATAATTGTACATACATCCATCATGCACCCACCACTTACACATTTTACATAAGGTGTCTTTTCTGTTTTTCATGCGTACTTTAGTACAGTGTATGCACCTGTTTGGTAGTGTTTGAGATAATAATGGCTGTATTGTCTCACATTGACCTATGTATGTATTACATATGGAGTTAAGAATAATACAATAGAAAGAATAATACAATAAATACACGAAAAAAAACGGAAAAAAATTAAAATTGACGACAGGTGAGCAGACCTGCCGCGGGTGGTGACGTCACCCTAGGTGTTTTAAATGACCATAATTCCTTGTAGGAATGTCGTAGAACAATGATTCTTGTACCATTGTGTTGCCAGAGTTAAGCTATTTTTCTATAAGATTACCTCAATTTGTGAATTTTTCGACAAAATTTTTTCGTTCGCGCTAAGATAAGATTTCGTTCGGATTTTTAACCCCGGAGGGTTAGCCACCCAGGATAACCCAAGAAAGTCAGTGCGTCATCGAGGACTGTCTAACTTATTTCCATTGGGGTCCTTAATCTTGTCCCCCAGGATGCGACCCACACCAGTCGACTAACACCCAGGTACCTATTTGCTGCTAGGTGAACAGGAACAACAGGTGTAAGGAAACGTGTCGAAATGTTTCCATCCGCCGGGAATCGAACCCGGGCCCTCCGTGTGTGAAGCGGGAGCTTTAGCCACCAGGCCACCGGGCCACCGACTGATCCCGCTCTAGGGGGAGAATTCCTTATAACTCAGATAAGGGATTAAAGTACACTAGGAATGTATACATTCATTTTTAATTAGGTAAATGTTGCTCTGAATCCTTGGATCAAGAGCCACTGCTAAACAAAACGAAAATTGCTAGGTTGGCGGGAAGCAGCAGCCAATTAAAGCCACGATTTAACCTATGACGTCACAGACTAGACGGCCAAGACCCAGTAGCCAATCAAGAGTTGTGACGTCACTGTTGAGGATGTATACATCATGGTTGATCAGCCAATGAAAGTGCTCAGAGGCTCCGACGTCACAGTCTTGTGGTGGTGCATAAGTCTGGCGCGTAAACTTGCGCCTCAGTCATGCGCGGGAGAAGATGACGTGAGGGTGTTCGCTCCTCTGGTAAGCATTTTTCCTTTATATCGCCTAAATTACTGGTTGTTTTCATTAACTAATGCTTTTACATGGTCATAAACAGTATATATATCTTTTAAAGTAATTGTGCAATTATTGATTTTTGTTCCAATAAATTTGTTGAAACTTAAGTTCAGCAGCTAAATTTGTGGTAAGTGCTAACTATATTATATGGTCACTTATGTAACTTGCACTTGTCACCATTTATTACGTCACTACCACTTATAAGTGCTGGTTTATGATGGGTTGAAACATTAACAAGAGGTCGCTTAGTGTAAATTGTCACCACCACTTGTGAGTTGTAACTTGTCACTTTACCACATACAAGAGGAAAGTTTAACTTATGTCACTAGTAAGTGGTAAGTTGTCACTATCACTTAAGTGGTTTAGAGTAACGCCCATGTAACACTTACAGTGGCGCAGTAATGTGCGCCGATAAATTAGCGCCAATGTTTATAATACATGTTAGGACCATTAAGATATTAATCATAAAATATTTCCTTATTTTAGGCTATTTCCACATTAATATATTTATTTTTATTAGGGGGAGATTGTTCCAAATCCTTGGATCAAGAGCCCATCACCTGCCAGGTGTATGCATGTCACCGCTGTGGCCACAGCCAATGAAAACGAGAGTTACTAAATTGGCGGAAAACAGAAGCCAATTACAGCCTAGATTTAACCTATGACGTCACGGGTTTGAGCGCCAAAACCCAGCAGCCAATCAGCAGTCGTGACTTCGCTTGACGAGCCAATCAAAGCGCACAGAGACTACTACGTCACAGTGGTGGTGGTGCGGGACCCCTGGTAACTTGCCTCAAGTCATGCGCGGGAGATGAGGCGAGGGCACGCGCTCCTCTGGTAAGAATTTTTCCCATATTTCTCCGAAATTACTTGTCATTTACATTGTTTTTACGTGGTAATATAAAGTGTGTGTATATCTGAAGTAGTAATACTGCAAAATATGGTAAGTAACTTTTAATGTCACCGCTTAAGTGGTTGTAAATTGTCATGTACCACTTACATAAGTTGTCACTAGCACTAAATGGTAAATTGTCTACAAATTGTAAGTGGTGGGTAGTAGCGTATGTCGTTTTACCACTTTGTCGTTTATGGTTGTAAATTGCCACTTCACTAATGTCACTTATAAGTGGTCGTTTATGGTCTTGTAATTTGTCACCACCAATTAAGTGGTAATTTAGTATGGCATCACAATACCACTTGCATGTGGTCAATTATAATTGTACCTATTACACTTTATCACTTACGTAAGTGGTCGTTAGTTTATATATTCTGGAAGTGGCCTTTAATATCACCTTGACGGGCAGGATCTTGATCCAAGGAATCTGAACCACTATTTCCAGTAGTGACTTCCATTCCCCGGGCACTATGACCCCCCTACGGGTTTAGCGCTTTACCGTAAATGCCACGGCACAGCATGTGTGCTCAGTTGGCGCCATTAACTCGCGTTCTTGGCGCCAATGTGTGAAATCCGCTCTAGGAAGCGCAAAGCCAGGTCACTCAGCCCCCCAAATGATTAATGAGTTTCAAAACTTAACCACGCGTGGGTCAAGTGTATATATACACTTGAAATGTTTATGTATATGTATATATACTCGGTGTATATACATTGAGATTCAGAATATATATAAAATATTTTCTCATTTGTGGACTATTTCTACATATAATTGCTTTTATTGGGGGGGTGCTCCAAATCCTTGGATCAAGAGCTCATCAAAATGTCCTGGCCACAGCCAAATACAAAATTGGCGGGAAGCAGCAGCCAATTAGTCTCGAGTTAACCTATGACGTCACGGGTTTGAGCGTCAAGACCCAGCAGCCAGTCAGTAATCGTGACGTCACTTGGCCAAACATACATCACTGTCGATCAGCCAATCACTTCAGCGGCTCCTACGTGACTGGTGGTAGTGCAGAGCCCGCGAAAACTGGCGCCTCAGTCATGCACGGGAGAAAGTGGCGGGGGGGGGGGGGGGTGCGCACTCTGGTAATAATTTTATCTTCATTTCTTCAAAATTACTGGTCGTTTATATTAAATAATGCTTTTACATGGTTATATAAAGTAAATATATCTGAAGTAATAATTTTGTAAAATATGGTAACTTGTGTCTACGTAAGTGGTTGTCAATTGTCACGTACCACTTACATAAGTGGTTGTAACTTGCCACTTTACCTCTAATAATTGGTATGTCAGTACCAGTTATAAGTAATTGGTTGTAACTTTGTCATTACCACTAATTGGTAAGTGTTAAGTTGTAATTTGTCATTTTACCCATTACAAGTGATCGTTTATAATCGGTTGTAACTTGTCACTTTACCATTCACTACCACTTAAGTGATCGTTTATTTTAAATTTTCTGGACCATGGCCACGGTGGGAGGATCTTGATCCAATGAATCTGAGCCACCATTCCCAGTAATGAACATATTCCATTCCCCAGGCTATGGGGGATAATTCCACTTCCCAGGGGCTATGGGGGATATTCCATTCCTCCGGATATATTCCATTCCCCAGGGGCTATGGGGGATATATTCTTTCCCAGGCTCTACGGGGGATATATTCCATTCCTCGGGCTCTGCGGGGGATATATTCCATTCCTCGGGCTCTGCGGGGGATATATTCCATTCCCCAGGGGTTGTGGGGATTGATGTAAACTTGAAATGTGTGTGTATATAGCATATCATTGTGCATATATATACTTGTTCTCTGTATGTGTGCATTGAGAGAGTCAGTATACAAAATATTTTCTCACTTATTCTGGGATATTTCTACATTATAAATGTTTTATTTGGCTTTTATTAGGGTAAGGTTGCTCCAAATCCTTGGATCAAGAGTCCATCACCAGCACTCAAAAAGCAAATTGCTAAGTTGGCGGGAAGCAACAGCCAATTACAGCGTAGATTTAGCCTGACGTCACGGGCTTGAGCGCCAAGACCCAGCAGTCGTGACGTCACTGTTGATCAGCCAATGAGAGAGCTCAGATTACTACGTCACAGTCTGGTAGTGGTGCGGTAGCCCGCCATGCGTAGGAGGGGGAGTGAGGGCGTGCGCTCCTCTGGTAAGACATATTTTCCTTTATTTCTCCTAAATTACTGGTTATTTATAATTAGTGGATTTACATGGTAATATAAACAGTATGTATATATAATCTGTAGTAGTAATTCTGTGAAATTTTTATTCCAGTTGAAGCAGAGGAGTTCAGCAGTAACTGTTAGCCTTTATGGTAAGTGGTAACGTTTGTCACTTTCACTTATAAGTGATCAGTTATTACTTATCCCTTTACCATTTGTCTACCACTTATGTTATTTTACCACTTTTACGACCTTACCATTTGTCACTACCACTTATATCACTACTATAAATTTTAATTGAAATTATTATTCGCTGAAGCATTAATTTATTATCCAGCGTTTTATATATGGACTTTGTTGCCATGGATACGTGAATATGGTGGATGCCTTGTTGAATTATTCTAGTAAACTAAGATTTAAATGTCATAGTATATGAAGGTTTTTTTTTTGTAATTACTGATTTTAATGTTTATTATTTTAAACTAATTTAAAGTTGATATTATATTTTTTTGCAGTTGCCATGTTTTAAGTTGATGCAAGTTAAATTTATTCATATTTTCCAAAAGCTTTTATTTTTTGGGTGGGGGGGGGTGTTGACCCATTGAGATCCTAACGGTGTATGACCCTTGTAGGTTTAGCGCTTCTTTATGGTTATATTACCCTTGTAGGTTTAGCGCTTCTTTATGATTGTGTGACCCTTATAGGTTTAGCGCTTTATGGTTATGTATGACCCGTTGGGTTTAGTTATTAGTTATGATTGTGGAAAATACTGTATATATTTTCCAGAAATTCAGTATTTATATGTAAATAGATGGCCATACTGTATTTAATAATATTTGTCATAGAAAACGGAAAGCCTGCGTCTGGGCTGGAGACTCGCCATCTTGGTTTTGAATTTTGTACAAACGTTGGTGTAATGGGAAGAATTTTTCGTGCTTTAGAGGTTAAAATTGTGTTGACACCTCTCAAATAGGAGGCGAAATTGGTGGATGTGCATTCCTGCATAACTTGAGATATCAGACGACTGGACAAGACAGCTCCAGGAACCTCAGATAAGCTCTCTAGATTTGTGTGTAATTCTGGCCAGCATTATTTTCATAGATTTAGTTTGAGGTTTTCTGAGTATGATACGCATTAATCTCCAGTCAAATTGGTGAGTGATATTAAGATATATTTTCCTTCTGTTATGTAATTGTGTATATATATAAACATTTATTATTTTTAATATACAGTCCACAAATTTATATATTTACCAGTATTCCTGGTGTATGTATATTTCATTTAATTAATAGGTCCAGAGCAACTTGTGGTTATGACAGTGGTAGGTATCGAAGGGGGACATTTTTTGCGACCTAGGTGCCCCAAATTCCTACTTGTCTATGTAACATTGATAAATAATAATTATCTTTATCATTTACTGTTATGTACATAATTAGTTACATTCAGATAAATGCAATTTTCCACATTTAATTGCCCATTGGTCCTTGAACCGGAGGTAATTAGTGAAGTCATTAATTAGTTAATTACTTAATAATTATATGTGAAATAACAGGAGGTGGATGTTAAGTTCACAAATTTACTTAATGTGTAGTGGATTATAATAATTACAATATTAATTTTGATAAGCTAAGCTCAAGTATGGCTAAGTTTATATTAATTTGTATAATACTAATTTGATAAGACAATTCTGGCCAAGATTTATATCAGTGTATGTGTAATTGATAAGACAAGTGTGGATAAAGATTATATTGTGTATAATATTAATTTTGCTATGCCAAATTCTGGCAAGGATTTATTAATTTGTATAATATTAATTTTGATGAGCCAAGTTTGTATTAATGTACATTTAAAATTTATATTATAATTTTTTATATGTAATTGCTAAGCTCAAGTAGCTAGGATTTATTCAGAGGTAAGTTGTATCAGTGTTGTAAGTTGTAATCAGTTTTATTAATAAAGTTGAATTTAATACATTGCATCATGGCTGAAAATGAGGAAATTAATGTAGAAGAGAAACATGGAATATAGAGCATATAGGCATAATTTTTCATCCTGAAATTTAATAAGATATCTCCTAATTTTTCCGTCAACGACGGACCTGTCATCAAACAGTCATTTAAACTAGGTACATTTTTGTTACTCCTGGCACTACAGTTAAACACAATTCTCAGAGGAGTGGTCTTAGAATCCTTCTTCACTCCGTGATGTGGCAAATAGTGACCATAAATTTTGGCTTGCTCAGGAGGTACCTCTTCTATAAATTTATTAATTAACTGTTCAGCAATTATATCATTATAGGCAGTTAACAATTCTGGTGTCTTACTCAGTTCGCGGAGCTGAGCCTTTAATTGTCCATATGCCATTCTGTAATTGGTGGGCAATTCTGGATGGCTCAGTCTCCACGGAAGTGGCACCCAGTATTGTCCAGATTCAAATTTTACATCTCTCAGGTATTGCTCCTGAGTAAAAGAATCATGCACAGCTGCTTTAAAAATTGACCAAAATTCCTTCCAATTTTCTCCAGGATTAAAAACAGGCAAACACAATTCTGGGAGTTTTGGCAAAGACATATTATTTGTTGGAGCAGACCAACTGCCTGGTTTACACATTTTAATTTATTCAAGGCCTGACTTTTACAAGAAAGAATCTTTCCCTCTAATTCATAATACTGATTAATCATGAGATCTATTTCAGTCTCATCTACACAGTTTACTAATAAATCTCCTTCATATTTGTTGTAATATAATTTGTGTAAATCATATCTATTACCTAAAGCATCTAAATACAATTTTAAATCATCAGTATTCACAGTTTCTTGATTCATTAATTCCAAGCACTTATTATATGCCTTGGTTACGTGAACTTTCTTAGCCTGTAGTGATGCTTTCTTTACTCTATATTCCATATGTTTGTCTTCTATAATAATTTCCTCATTTTCAGCCATGATGCAATGTATTAAATTCATCTTAATAACACTGATTATGTACTAAATTATGCACTTTATAAAGGTAAATAGTACATCTTGCCTTTGAATAAATCCAAGCTACCTGAGCTTAGCAATTACATGTAAGAAAATTATATAAATTTTAAATGTACATTAATACAAACCTTTAGCCAAACTTGGCTTATCAAAATTAATATTACACAAATTAATATAATCCTTGCCAGAATTTGGCATAGCAAATTAATATTATACACAATATATAATTAGCAACACTTGGCTTATCAATTACACATACACTGATATAATTCTTGGCCAGAATTGTCTCATCAAATTAGTATTATACAAATACATTAACATAAATCCTAGCCACTTTGGCTTTGCAAATTTAATATTATGCACTTTACTATAATTAGCTACACTTGGCTTATCCAAATTAATATTGTAATAATTATAATCCACTACACATGAAGTAAATTTGTGAACTTAACATCCACCTCCTTCTGTCATTTCATATATAATTATTAAGTAATTAACTAATTAATGACTTCACTAATTACCTCCGGTTCAAGAAGGACCAACGGGCAAATTAAATGTGGAAAATTGCATTTATCTGAATGTAACCAATTATGTACATAACAGTAAATGATAACAAAGATTATTATTTATCAATGTTACATAGACAAGTAGGAATTTGGGACACCTAGGTCGCAAAAAATGTCCCCCTTTGATACCTACCACTGTCATAACCGCAAGTTGCTCTGGACCTATTAATTAAATGAAATATACATACACCAGGAATACTGGTAAATATATAAATTTGTGGACTGTATATTAAAAATAATAAATGTTTATATATATGCACAATTACATAACAGAAGGAAAATATATCTTAATATCTAGTCAAATTGGTGAGTGATATTAAGTTGTATCATACTCGGAAAAACCTCACTAACTAAATTTATGAAAACACTGGCCAGAATTATACACAAATCAAGAGAGCTTATCCGAGGTTCCTGGAGCTGTCTTGTCCAGTCGTTTGATATCTCAAGTTATGCAGAAATGCATGTCCAACAATTTCGCCTCCTATTTGAGAGGTGTCAGCACAATTTTAACCTCTAGAGCACGAAAAATTCTTCCCATTACACCAACGTTTGTACAAAATTCAAAACCAAGATGGCAAGTGTCCTCCCCAGCCGCAGGTTTCCCATTTTCGATAAAATACTTCTTTTAAAAATACAATATAGGGCATCTATTTACCTATAAATTACCGTATTTCTGGAAAATATATACAGTATTTTCCACAACGACCTTCATGAAGTAGATAGGTTTTAAACCCAATGAAGCAATTATGACTTGTGTAGTAGATAGGCTTTAAACCCAATAAATCATACCTTTGTAGTAAAATAGGCCTTTAACCCAATAAATTATGACCTTTGTGTAGTAGATAGGCTTTAAACCCAGTAAACCATGACCTTCATGAAGTAGATAGGTTTTAAACCCAATGAAGCGATTATGACTTGTGTAGTAGATAGGCTTTAAACCCAATAAATCATGACCTTCGTGTAGTAGATAGGCTTTAAACCCAATAAATTATGACCTTTGTGTAGTAGATAGGCTTTAAACCCAGTAAACCATGACCTTCATGAAGTAGATAGGTTTTAAACCCAATGAAGCAATTATGACTTGTGTAGTAGATAGGCTTTAAACCCAATAAATCATGACCTTCGTGTAGTAGATAGGCTTTAAGCCCAATAAATTCATCATAACTGTGTAATAAGCTTTTAACTTGGGAAATCACTCATGACCTTTGTGTAGTAGATAGGCTTTAACCCCAATAAATCATGGCCTGTGGATAGGCTTTAAACCCAATAAATCAATCATGACCTTCGTGTAATAAGCTTTTTAACTCGGGAAATCACTCATGACCTTCGTGTAGTAGTAGGCTTTAAACCCAATAAATCAATCATGACCTTCGTGGGCTTTGAACTCGGTAAATCACTAATGACCTTTGTGTAGTAGTAGGCTTTAAA